TGGCTGAGCTGGGTCAAAGTTTTTGACTGTCAAGTTGGCCTTCCCAACAGCAGGATTTGAGAATAACCAGACCACATCTCTTTGCTCGTGCCAGGTATTACAATAATAAAAACCTTCTGAGTTTAATACGTAAAAGCATATCTAGCTATTTCTGTTTTGCAAATCCATTCTTGTGGGCCTGAGGAGGATGTAGAGGGGTGTGGTGGGTGCTCAGATTTGGTGCCCGGATGCCCCACAGGAGTGGGATGCTGGAAGTGCTATCGGCCAGCGGCCTCAGCTGTCAGCCCCGTCAGAGGTCAGCCACGCCAAGAACTGCCCTGCCCCATTCTGCCTCCTTCCTAGGCAGCAGCCTCAGTGGGTGATTGACGTGACTGTACAGGGCTGCCCTCTCGCCGGCCAGTGTAGCTCAGTGGTTGAGTGTCGACCCATGAACCAGGTCACGTTTCGATTCCCGGTCAGGGCACATGCCCAGGTTGCAGCAATGGATCCTCAGTATGGGGTGTGCAGGAGGCAGCCGATCCATGATTCTCTCTCCTCATTGATGTTTCTCTCTCTCTCCCTTCCTCTCTGAAATCAATAAATATATATTTTATATCTATCTATCTATCTATCTATCTATCTATATATATATAGATATATATATATACACTTTTTTTAAAGGGCTGCCCTCTCACCCTGCTCAGGACAGCTCTGAAAGGTCATCCCATTCTCAGAACTCCCTGAGGATCAGGGTCAGCAGAGGCCTCCGCTGAGACTGCGCCGGCATCTGCCTTCTCCTTCTGCCAGTTCTGTTTCCTTCCCTTCCTTCGCTGACCCCCAGGGCGCTTCTTAATAAAGCTCCCGTGCACTGAGGAGTCCGTTTCCCAGGGATCCCAGCCTGTGACAGGCAGCATCCTCGTGTCCACCGGGGACGAGCCTAGAATGTTCTGAGGGCTGGGCTTTCCTTTCTGCTTTGAGCTGCCAGGACAATTTGGACTCCACCCAGAGCTGAGAAGTTCCGAGCCTTGGCAGGCAGCCCTGCAGGACCTAGGCTTCCGGGTAGCCCCCCGCTGGGTTAATTAAGCAGTCAGCGGGGGAAGATTTACTGCACACTGACCCTTACTCCTTTGACACCCCTTTAAGATGACAACATCTCCAGAAATCAGAGGAATCGTAGCTGCCATTGTGCAATCTCACAGCGGGTATTTCACAGATGAGGAAATTGGCTCAGAGAAGGGAAGTAACTTGCCCGAGTTCACACAGCCAGGGAGCGCTGGTGCTTGAATTCACCCAGGACTGTCCATTCTTAAAAACCAGTGCTCTTTACACTTCACTCGAGCCACTCAGTGGTAATAATAATATGGATTATTGGATCATCATTCACTTTAAGTGTCACGGAAACTGCAAAGCACTTAATATAATGCCTGGTTCATACTAAGAAGCTGACAAATGTAAGCTATTGATCAGAAACTCCCCAAGGGCTTCCCTTTCTTAGAATAAAATCTGAACTCCTTTAGCATGGCCGACAAGGCCACACGGTATCTGGCCCTCTCTCTCCCTCCCTCATTTCAGTTCAGTGGATAAACGAAGCTCACACTGAACTCGGGGGCTTCGCACTTACTGTTCTCTTTTCTTGGAATGCTCTTCCCCTTGATCTTTACTTGGCTGAAATTTCCATTCAAAATTCCATTCAGCCCAGCCGGCGTAGCTGAGTGGTTGAGCGTTGACCTATGAACGTGGAGGTCACAGTTTGATTCCCGGTCAGGGCACATGCCTGGGTTGCGGGCTCCATCCCCAATGTGGAGCATGCAGAAGGCAGCCCATCAATGATTCTCTCTCATCATTGATATTGATGTTTCTCTCTCTCCCTCTCCCTTCCTCTCTGAAATCAATAAAAATAAAAAATAAAAAAAGCCTTTTCCCTTGCACAACTAGAACGGGTGGAGTAAGGATTCAAACCTGTGAGTGCCATGACAAACCAAACTCTTTAGAGAGCAGAACTCTAGCAGGAGGCTTCGTGTTCTGGCCTAATTCAACCATCAGATGGGTTATGGCCCAGAGAAGCACGGCAGCTTGCCCAGACACACAGCAAGTTCAAGGCGGGATGGAGATTAGACTCTGGGGCCTGGGGTGCCCCACGATGCTCAGGCCAGGGTTTTTCTTTCCCAGCTGAGGCCATAGTGCCTCCCCATGGCCAAGCCGGTCAGCTCCCCTCCACACGATTTAAGAATGGAATTATCGGTTTGGAAGACAAAGTTGCAGGTCACATCCCCAACCCTAGCTCATGTTTGAAAACCAGAATTCTTTGGAAGTTAATGGGAAACCCAGAATCATGGAAGCTGCCCTTCAGATGTTTGCAGAGGACTCTGAAGTGGTCCCAAGGAACTGACCAGTGACGATCGGGCCGAGTTAATAAAGCACCAATCCGGAAGCAGGTCTCAAGGACAGCTTACATTTATTTGCTGATGACTCTAATCATACTTCAAACACAGCAGAAGTTAAGAGTCTGTCAGGTGAAGCCATTTCCTAACAACAGCTAAACGTGGTCCGTGGACAGCGCTGTGAGCATCTTCTCACGCTGAGGCCCCGGCTCCGGGCAAACAGCTGGCGGGTGGGCCTGGTCCATCCGGCCTTGATGGGCGCCTCCGAGGAACTAGTTCTCATACTTGTGCTTGATGTGTTTCCACAGCTTCTGCATTTTAAAGACAAAAGCCACAAACTTTAAGTTTCCCCTCTCACATTTTACAATTATATTCCCACTGCCCTGGTCCCTAAAACAAGCTGGAGAGAAAGTCTTACCACGTCCTGACAGTTGCAGTGGGAAAATTGGAAGCAATACCAGGCTTGTCACACATTCCTAATGTTTATAAAATGCTTTGAGCCCTGGCTGGTGTGGCTCAGTGGGTTGGAGCGTCCTTTTGTACACCGAAAGGTCATGGGTTCAGTTCCCATCAGGGAACAGGTGGCAGGTTCAATCCCCAGAAGGGAGGCAACTGATCCATGTTTCTTTCACATCCATGTTTCTCTCCCTCCCTTCCTCTCTCTCTAAAATCAATAAAAACATATCCTCAGGTGAGGATCAAAAAAAAAAGCTTTGATGCTCTCAATCACCATGTGAAGTAAGTGGGAAAAGTTACTACTTTTACAGATATTGAGGGATCTGCCCCAAAGTACAATTATTAAGGAACAGAGCCGGGAAGATGGTTCACTTCTTCAACTCTAGGTATAATTTAAGGGATCCTAAGCATAGAGTCCCCAAAACACTTCACACTGAGCCATTCTCATTTCTTCAGACCTGTGATTTCTGGGTCAGGGACTAGCTGGACTCTCATTCCTAAAAATACAGAATTCATGACAACATACTTCCACGTCTCTCCCAAACACGGGGAACGGCTAGCTGCTTGCAGGAGATGGAACTGTGGTAGTAGCTTTATAGGGGCAGAAAGCTGCCCTGGCCACAGGCAACACAGCGTTCGTGAACAGAGCCTGTCGGACAGCTATGCATTACAAACAGAACGAATGGTGGGACAGGGCTATCTGCACAAGGCGTTCCCTAGTATGAGCCATGACTTAATGATATACAGTCTGCACAGCACCCAGCCCAGCGCCTGCCCGATTCCCTACCTCATGCTTCTAATTTCTCCTGAGGAATGTAGCATGTTATTTTCTTTTTTAATCCTCATCTGAGGACATGTTTTTATTGGTTTTTTAGAGACAGAGGAAGGGAGGTGGAGAGAGGGAGGGAGGGAGGAGGGGAAGAGAGAGAGAGAAACATTGGTAGGTTGCCTCCCCCACGCACCCCCACCCGGGATCAGGGATCGAACCCGAAACCTGATTATACAAATGTTCTTTCCTGAGTGGCACCACCTGGCAGGCACGGTGGCATCTTGCCTGTATCTCGAATAATATTCACAGTAAATCCGAGGTCGTTACTATGATCAATGTCACAGGTAGAAGTGAAGCTCAGAGATGCTAAGAAACTTGCCCAACTGAACGTCACAGCTATTAAGAACCGAGGCCGAGTATTCCCACGCAGGGCTCCGATTTCACAGCCCCGACTCGGAACCACAAGGAATGCCGCGCCGCTTGCGCGGGAAGCCCTGGGAACCGAAGGCGCCATCGGAAAAGGCAGCCGCGAGGTCTAAGGGGACAGATGTCCTTTTCGCCATCGTCCACCGCTCCAATCTGCCCTTGAAACCCTCCGCGGAGACAGGGGGGTTCAGTCCCAGCCCTGACTTCCTGGTGCTGCAGCCCTAGGAAGTCCTTTGCTCTCCCTAGGCTTCAGTCTGCAAGTGGAAAAGTGGGAGATCGAAATATTTAAACGCCCTGCAAAGTGGAATCTATTGACCTCGTTTGACGGTTTAGGATTCACCCCCGGCAGAAAGGGCGGACGGCAGTCTGCAGACAAAAGACGCGCAGGGTTCACCCCTCTTCCTTGTCAAGGTGCACTGCGCCCCGTCCCACCTCCATTCCCACTGACACTTTCAGGTGGGCCCAAGGTCATGGATGGATGGCCTAGGCCCTCACCCCCTGGTTGATGTTTTCGTAGATCGCGTCCGCGCCTTGGTCGAAGGCACGCTCGAAGAACAGGGCACCCACGGCGATGGTTAGGGCGAAGGTAGAGGTTCTGCGGAAGAGCAGGGAGTACAGCCTCCCACTTAGCGAAGGAGCCGCCATGCTTCCCCACCGCCGAAGTCGCGACACCGCGCCTGCGCCGCGGCCGACCTTGCTCTCCAAAGGCCTCCGACGTGCAGTGCTTTATGGGACATGTAGTCCCTCTGAATCTCCGTACTCGTCGTTTTGAATCACGGAGGTAACGGATGGCTTACGCGGGACAAAAGTCTTATAAGGTTCAGATCACAGCAGCCCAAACTGTTTGGTAATATTTATTACACAAGTTTACTCCTCAATCATTTCTTGCTGATTGAATATTGCTAACTACAACACCCAGAAGCCCTCGCGCTCCCCCACCTACCCTCCTGGTGTTGCAGCTTTAATTCGCAAAGGTTTCTGGGAAGGGAGAACTGGTACCTAAGGAAGGACTACGAATCCCAGCAAGCAGTTCGCAACGCAAGCGCGGAGGAGGAGGAGCGCTGGGCCGTCGGGCCCGGCCGAGCCAGGTACCTTCTTTGCGGGACATCGAGGGTTGAGTTTTAGTCTCCTGTCCCTCACGGGAGGACTTGGGCTCTTCTTTCCAAGTCCGCGCTCCTCCCGGCGGGCCGCTCCGTTTAACGGGTTTAGGAAGTAGAAGAGCGAGGGGCCTGGGCGTCTGGGTCCCTGGCTCATCTCTATTCCCTGATCCCTCAGTCAGTTTCAAGTTCTGGGCTAACGTTGGAGCCTGTGGCAAAAAGTCCGGTCTTGGGGGCTGAACCCATCCGCCCGACTTCAGGGAAAAGGGCGGTTCTTCCCATTTCCCGCATCTCTGGGCTTCGCATCCGAGAACCTTGGCCTCAAGGCAGGAGGGCTGACACCATCATTCCTACCTGGGAATAGAAAGAACAGGGGCTTTGGGGTGCTCGGGCCGTCAACAGATAGTTCATTCATTCATTCGTTCGTTCATTCGTTCATTTTATTATTTATTTACTTACTTATTTTCATCCTCTCCGGAGGATGTTGTGTGTGTTTGTGTTTTAATTGATTTTTAGAAGAAAGGGGAAGAGGAAGAGAGAGACACATCTAATGAGAGAGAAACATCTAATCGATCGGTTGCCTTCCGTACCGACCCGGGGGATCGAATCCGTCACCTAAGTATGTGCCCTGACTGGGGATCGGACCCTCAGCCTTTTCGTGCTCAGGACCACGCTCCAACCAACTGAGCCACCCGACCAGGGCAACAACGGTTCTCGGAGCGCCTTCTCTGGGCCGGGCGCTGGGGACTCCCCAGTGAACGAGTCGCTGTCATGGGAGCACTCATTCTGCTGCGTGGGGGCGGGTGGGTGGGGAGGAGCAGCAATGACAAGCCAGTGATGCTCTGAAGAGCAGAAGACAGGTTGGCTATTGTCGCCAGAGGACACTTAGCCAGAGACTTGAACGAATAGTAGGAACTCAAATTAGGAAGACGTTGCTGCAGAGGCCTGAGGCTGCTGCAGTCGGGGTGTCTGAGGGACAGAGCAGAGTGGGCTGTGGAGAGGCGGGCTGGGGCAGCTCAGATAAGGCCTTGTAGCCGGTGGGAAGGAGCCTTATGTTTTTCTAGTTGCACCAGGAAGCCCCTGGAGGGTTTTAGGCTGGGTGGTGACCTGCTCTAATTTACATTTTAATGGCCTCATTCTGGCTGCTCTCTGTTTTGTTAAGTTTGTTTGAGCTGCCCCTTAGACATCCAGTGGAGATGTCTACAGGCAACTGGGGATTTGGCTCTGGAGTTCAGAGGAGAGGTCTGAGCCAGAGAGAAAAGCCATTGACATCCGGCTGTGGCATTGAAAACCAGGGGCTGGATTCGAGGCCCGGAGCGGACTTGTAAACCGGGCAGTGATGCCTGAGTAGGGACCTGGGAGGGGAAATGTGAGATGCTGTACATCCTTCCTGTGGTTATTTTCAATTTGCAAAGCATCCTAGTACCCCTTTGGGATAGGCCGCTTGACGCTTCTGGGGAAGGAATACTTGTGTGTTGCTAACGACAAATCTGGCCGATGGGAAGTTCAGAGGAGGAATTATTTTAGGTGGAATGGGTGGGGAAGACACGGTTAGATTGTGGCTTGTTTTATTTGGTTTTATTTTTTACCTCTTTAGTTAATTCTCTTTGGAGCAACAATTTTTTAAAACCTAATTTTCTGCAAGCCATCAAATTCAACTTAGAAATTACTATTCCATACATAAACCTAGAAAAACAAGAAAAATGACCTTACCTTTTCCTTTGAGTAATGTTGAACAAACTAAATCCCTTTAAACATTCAGCCCTATGAACAGCCTAATTGCATTCCCTTGCATATTTAATTCCACTTATAAGTGTAATATATTTGATTTTCTTTTTAAGTATTTCAGATACATAACCTAACAAGCATAATTTCCCCAGAATACTTAAACAGTTACTAAAACATCTAATAAATTAAACCTATAAACAGTGAATTTTAAATTCTTGTAAACAGTTCAGTGCTTTTAATAGACAGTCAGATTCTCTTGTCACTGGTTCTCAGTCTGGGGAGTTAGTAAAATACATCTCTGACATAAAATTAGGATATGGGGGGGCACCTTTAGTATCATTATAGCACCCCAGGAGATCCTAATATGTAGCCAGTTTTTCCAACCATTGCTAACCTCTCCACTTAAAGTCACAAGTCTAATGCCAATTACTGACATATTTTATCAATTACCTAGCTATATATTTTAACTTTTATATTTTAAATTGGAATCACCTTGCTTATCTGTCATCTACGCAACATGTCAAATTCTTTCCAATGTTCCTGATATTTTCAAATACCAAGTGTGCACTGACGATTACTAAATTCAGGGCAGGAACATAAGTACGGGTGGGGCGAAGGTCGGTTTGCAGTTGTGAGGAGGTGAAACACAGAGCTTTTCCTTGTATTGTTTTTTATTAATTATTGTATTATTTTCCATACGGACAACTGTGAACCTGCTTTGCCCCGCCCTGTACAAGCAGTTTGATTTATTCTACTCCCTCTCTTTGCAATTCTAAATTTTCCTGGAGTGTGACAGGACACCCAGCCAGGAGGGGAAACAGATTTATTCATGGAAGTGAATGCCAGTCAAGTCGGGGTTACCCCTTCAGCAAGCGGACCGATTGGTGACCGGGACTCGAATCGGGGGGTCATGCCTCCCCAGGGGCGCTGTCCCCAGCAGAGGCCTTTGGATGCAGGGAATGGAGGCCGGTGAGCACAAGGCTTTTGTTCCTTAGCCGGTGCCTCCTAGCAGGTGCTAGACTCGCTGGTTAAAACGCAGGTTTCTGGGTCCCCCCCCCCCCCAGATCTGCCGGGTCCGGATCCTGGAGATCTGACCCAGGAGACTTCATCTGTAATAAACCCTGCACAGGGAGCCACGGGAAAGTTGGAGCACCAGTTATTTTAAGAGGGCTGGCCTGATGCTGCCCAGGGCAGGTAAACTGGGGAGGCTGGTCCAGGTGTGAGGAGGAGAGACCCGACTTGGTGGTAACAAGAGGGTCAGGTCAGATGGATTTGAAGCCCAGACTGGGGTGGGGAGGAAGAAGGGGGAGGCACACGCCGTTCTGAGCCTGGGTATCTGGCGCAGGAGCCTCCTTCAGACTATTTTTACCTTTCCTATTTGGAAGCTCTGGCCTCCTGGGACCTGTAACTGTCTGATGAGAAACCGTGTCTCCAGCCTGCGGCTCCCTGGAGCCCGATTCGGGTTCAGCCGCCTGCGCTGGGCCAGGTCGGCTTAGAATCGGGGCGCACCTATCAGCCTTCAGCCAGGGGCCGAGGGAAATGTCTCCCTTGCATCCCTTTCCAGGTTCATCCTGGCGAACCAGGTCACTGGAACCATCCGTGGTATTTCCTAAGGAAGAAGGAATAGGTTTATCCCAGCCTGACAAATTTCCCACTTTTTATGGGAATTTTTTGGGGACATTTAAAAACAATACATGCTAAATGTCAAAACGTAGAATAATAGAAAAACACAAAGTGGGAAAAAAAAAATCCTGTGTATAATCCTATTATCCAGGCATTACCACAGTAAATATTTTGTGTCTGCTCTAGTCTATGTATGAGTGTGGGAGGCTTTTTTCCCTTATAATAGTGGTATTATATATTCTGTTGTGATAATGAGTTTTTTCCCATTGGTTTTGGTTGTTGTTGTTGTTGTGTGTTTTTTTTTTTGAGTGGAAGGGAGGGGGAAGAGGAAGAAAGAGAGAGAGAGAGAAACATCAACAAACATTTTCTCAGGAATTTGGGAGTGGCTTAGCTGGGTGGTTCTGGCTCAGACTGTCCCAGAAGGTTGCAATCAAGCCCAGGGCTGCACTCATCCGAAGGCTTGACTGGGGCTGGAGGGTCCAATTCCAAGCTTACTCACATGACTGCTAACAGGTTTCGATTCCTTGCCACTTGGACCTCCCCACAATATGGCAGCCAGCTTCCCCCACAGCCAGTGATTAGAGGGGAGACACCAGGATGGAAGCCACAGCGCCCTTTTATAACTTGATCATGTAAGTGACGTCCTGTCACCTCTGCTCTATTCTCTTAGTCACACAAAACCGTGATACAGCTTAGAAGGGAACAACATCACACGGCACACACATGAGGAGGTGGTGTCGCTGCGGGCCTCGGCTGGCTGCCACATCCACAAATGAGTGTTGAGCACCATCAGCATGTCAGGCGCGGCGCTAACACTGAGCACGCATGCTTTAATCCTCATGGTAATCTTACACAATAGTATTATTACCTTCCTCTTCCAGGTGAGGCTCAGCGGTAAGCAGTTTGCTGAGAGTTTCCCGGCCTGGAAGTGGCAGGGGTGGGATTCCCACCTGGGTTGAATGGTTAGAGGAGGGTTGACGTGGGTGATCAGTGTGACTTCGGGCTGACCGTCCCTCCCTCTGTTCTTCAGCCCGTCACCTGCTACCTTGAAGGACCATCATTTCTCCCAGGGGGGTCCGTGGACTCTGCATCGGAGCCCCCCTAGGTCCTGGCCCTCTCCCAGACCGGCTGCGTGGAGAATTGCTGTGGGCGGGGCCCCCACTGCCTTATTCTGCCGGGAGGAAGGGTTGTGCCTCGCTCCCAGGGGTGGAATGGAATGCGGTCAGGATGAGAAAGCCGTGTGGTTGCTACAAAACACCGGGGCATCTGAGGGGGACCCCTAACCTATTGGGGCTCCTCTCAGGGAAGACATCTGGGTCTCCTTGGCATCCCTGTTGGAGCTGGGTCCTCGGTGGGCAGTCTGTGGGCCACCCCTGCAGGGCGGTTCCGGTGCCATCCATTCCAGACGGCAGGCATATGTGGCGCTGGGACGTTGCCACGCTCCTGGCGGGCGTGCAATGAAGCCGTCCGCTGGCTGCGGTTGGCTGTTTACCTGGGGTCTGGCAGCGCCATAATTAGAAGGGATGACAGGTGAGCTTGAGGGCGGCATGTGGTGAGCCCAAGTCCTGGGTAATTACAGTGTGTGTGCCGGCCCCTGGCCGCAGCCGAGCTGCTGGCTTATTTTAGCCTGGTGCCAGAGCTCGCTCTGAACCCGAGGCGCACACAGTGAAAGGGACCAAGAATATCAATGAAGCACAAATGTCTGCCCCGTGACAGCCTCGCAGCAGAGCAGTGGGAGGGGAAAGAAGGGGTTCTGGGGTCAGGCATACCCCCGTGTGGGTGCTGGCTCTGGCCTGTGTGGCTGCAGGGCCTCGGCGCATGGCTTCGCAGGGCGTGGGGCTCCAGGCAGATGAGAAATGGCTTTCTCAGTGTCTCCCCTAGCCTTGGCCTTGAGCACATGGGGAGTGTTTCTGAACCTGGGTCCTCATCTGTGAAGGGCCACCTTGATGGGGAGGGTCTCTGAGGGTTCAATGAGGAATGAGAGCCAGGGGCCTCGCACGCAGGAGTCCAGTCTGAAGCTCTTCCCTCGCCCCAGCTCACCCCCTTCTCTGTTATCCTTTCTTCTACCCCAGCGTCCCCACTAGTTGGTCATCTTTTCCTTGAGCCCAGAGGACGGAAGGCAGGTGCCCTGGGTGGCCAGGTGCGGGTTAAGTCTAGAGCTGGGCTCTGCCGGAGGCAGCAGTCCTTCGGGGAGGCCGGCCTTTGGGGTCTTAGGGTCTCTCTTCTCGCTGTCTTCCTTATCCATCCTCGTCGTCGTCCCCAGGTTCAGACTTGAGGAGAAGAGGCCTGGCAGGGGTGTAGCGAGTGACTCACAGAGGAAAGCTGTCATCAGTGGGGCTTGTCGGGAGGAGACACTTGTAAGTGACTGGGAGCGGCTCTAGGGCCGTTCGGCCTGGGTTCTGAGCCCAGCTCCGCGCTTGCTGGCGGTGTCACCTTGGCTGAGTCATTCACTTCTTGGAGCCGCCGTGCCCTCTTCTGAAAAGGCGTCACAGGTCCTACCACACAGGGTGTCCTGAGATGATGCGTTTAGAAAGCTTTTAACCTGGTGCCAGTGCAGCAGGTGCACAGTAAACCAAGTCCTGGGTGTCATGGCCCGAGCACTGGCTCAGTGCTGGGCGTCACCAGTGCCATTTGTATGGCTCGTTCTTTTGTGGTTAATAATTCATCGGGAGTAGCAAACCTCTGTGTATCACTCCTCGAGAGTAGCAAACCTCTGTGTATCACTCCCCCAAGAGGCCAGTCAGACCCACCACCCCATTCCTACAGTGAAAGTAGAGGCCCAGAGGGGGCAGTGACCTGCCCAAGGTCACACAGCTGGCTGCTCGGTGCCCTGCGTGGTTTCCTCTCGGCCTCCCAGAGGGACCTCCCCCCCCTTCTGCCCTCCCCCCCCCTTCCCCGTTACTCTCCAGAGCCGCAGCTCCTGGGCGCTTCAGGCTTCGTGAATGGCTTGGGTTAGCTCCCGGCCGTTAAGCGTTCATCTCTTACCATTTCAATCCAGCTCCTATAAGTTTATTGGCAAGACGGGTGTATTAGAGCTGCCAAATTTAATATATCAAGTCCGTGTGTCTGGGATGTGGTTTCTCAGCAGTAACTGGAGAAAAGAGGTTTTATGTGTTTTCATTTGGAATGACTGTCTGTTCCTAATCCCATTAGAGCCCTTGACTTAGTGGCTGCTGTCCCCGTCCGCCGCAGGCCCGCTTTCTCCCTCAGCCCGCTCGGCTGCCGGGCCTGTCCAGGGGGCTTGTTTGTCTTCCTGTCTTTCTCCAGCCTCCTCTTTTCAAGATGCATTTCCCCGTCTGTCTGCCCTGTGGTCAGGCCCAGCTTCGTATCTATTTGCCAGATCCTGGGAGTCGAGCTTGTGCTGCCGGCCTGAGCTGCCGCCTCATGACCTTGGGGAAGCCTCCGGTCTTGGTCCTCTGGGCCTCGGGAACCTGCTCTGCGGAACGAGGGGTCAGAATATAGGACCTGAATGGGGAGGGGCTGGTCTGGACTCAGCCTGTGCAGGTCCCACCTGAGGGGCCCAGGGGACTTGGTCCTCCTCTGATCTTGTGGCACCAAACTGGGAGACCCTCTGCGGCTGCCTGGGGACCTGCCACGGGAGAGTTGAGCCACTCTCCTGGGGAAGCCGTTGGCCCTTCTGCCTGGGCCTCTGGCTTCTCTGGGCATCGAGCTGGTGTGGGAGAGAGGACACGCGGCGGCTGGAGCTTAGGGGACCTGGGCTTGCCTTCTGCCCACCAGCCGTGTGACCTTGGGCACGTCCTCTTACTGAACCTCGTCGTCCCTTAAGGAAAACGGGAATTGGTCTGTTTATTCAACAACTATCTGGTTGCCTGCTGTGCACCGCGCACCACTTCGGGTGCTGGAGCTTCAGCGATAAACAGAACAAAATATCCCTGCCTGCGTGGATTTACCTTCCTACGGGGAGAAGAGAGAGTGAACGGAACCAGGAATGTGTTACTTCACAGGGGATACAAATGAGGCAGGAAATGGGAAAGCTAAGTGGAGGGTGGCGGGTTCTGCAATGTTAAGTAAAGTGGTTCCGGTCGCTTCCTGAGAAGGTAGTGTTCGAGCAAAGATTGAAGGAGCCGAGTGAGCAAGCTTGGCAGGTACCGGGGGAGGGCATCCAGGCAGAGGGAACAGCATGCAGGCGCCGGGAGGTGGGCAGGGGGCTGGCGTGCGTGAGGAGCAGAGCGGAGGCCTGTGTGGTCGGCATGGAGAGACCAGTCGAGAGGAGATCAGAGGTGTGGGGGGTGGCAGCTGGCGGGAGGGTGAAGGTGGTGGTTCCCTGGCGACATATGGAAAACTTAAAAAGTACTGATGCCCAGGCCTCACCCATGCTGGGTCTGCTTTAACTGGCCCCGGTGGAGGCTGGGCATCAGAATGATTAAAGGACCCCCCTGGGATGAGGCCCGCGCAGCCCCTCACGGGCTGTCGTGAGTTTTAAATGAGGCGGTGGGTGCACGGAAAGCCTCCCTACACAGCCCAGGCCTGGCCCGCAGGGAGCGCTCGTTGGGGTGGTGTGCGTGGGCTTCGGGGTGTGGCGTCCCCTCCCTGACATCCTCTGTTCTCCCCAGGCAGGGGCAGCACCGGGCGCGGGGCCATGGGGAAGCGTTACTTCTGTGACTACTGCGACCGCTCCTTCCAGGACAACCTCCACAACCGCAAGAAGCACCTGAATGGGCTGCAGCACCTCAAGGCCAAGAAGGCCTGGTACGACATGTTCCGAGGTGGGTGCCGCTGGCTCGGCCGCCAGGCTGCTGGGGCCCTGCCCTTCGCTCTTTGCTCTTTCTTATCATCAGACGAGGAAGCTCCGGGGGCCGGTGGCCCCAGCGCCGAGGGGCCTCCGAAGGTCAGACGGAGCGTGAGTGCCTTTCCCCAGCGAGCTTGACTGGGGCTGTTCTCAGAGGCCTGACCAGGCTCTGGGGCTGCTGTGGTCGGGAGGAGGGCCTCCCCCAGGAGGTGATGTTGGAGCCAGTAGCTGAGAGACAGGGCAAGGCCAGAGGACGTGCAGAAGCAGGTGCTCTCCGAGCAGGAGAGGGGCCCGGCCGGAGAGGAGACTGGTAGGGGTAGAGCTGGGGGCAGGGCGAGGGCCACCACGCAGGACTGGAGGCCACAGTCAGGGGGCTGGGTTGTCCCAAGGGCAGAGAGCGGTCTTGGAGGGGCTTTCGGCAGCAGCGGTGTGCCCAGAGCTGCATTTGACAGTGATAACTGCTGCTGTGTAAGCAGCGAGTGCAGTGAACGGCAGCTGAATGCCTGGCCGGGCGGGTGGCTGAATAACCGAGCTTCCTCCGGGAGGGGCTGCTCAGAGCAGCTGTGCCGGGTGAATGGGCTGAGGCTGTCAGCACCTTGCACCGGCCTGGCACCCCAGGCACTCCCTGCAGGAGCTGCTCTGCACGGTGTCGTTGGACGTACACACTGAGCAGTGAGGGAGGGGCCAGAGGGGTTCAGCTAGGAGCCAGGTCAAATGGAGAGGGAGCTGGGCAGTGGGGTGAAGGGTCCAAGAGCTCCCGGAATGAACCGAGGCGGGTCCGGTGCTCAGTGGGACCTGGGGAGCAGGATTCAGGGACAGGGCCCAGAGCCTGGAAGGAAGGAGTTGGGTCCCAGCAGCTGAGAAGGAAGGAGAAGGTGAGACAGAGTTCCCTGGTCTGTGACTCAGAATTCACAAGAAGGGGATGAGCATTTATTGAGTGCCTGCTGTATGCCAGGTGTCTTCATTTGCTTTTCTTAGTCATTCTCTAAAGCAGCGGCTCTCAGCCCCTGGAGTGAGGATCACCTAGAGACCTTGAAATTAAACAACGCAGGCCCCCTGACCCACCCCGAGAGGCAGGTTTGGGGCGGGGCCTGGGCATGGCATTTTGAAAGCTCTCCCTGACTCTCCTCATTTCAAATGAGAAGCCTCACAGGCTCGGATGAGGGCAGGTGGCCAAGCTGCTCAGCAGGCCAGGCATGACTGTGGCCGGGGTCTGGGAGTGGGGGTGCCTGGGAGGCCTTTGACCCTGGTGGCAGGCAGAGACGCCCTGACTCCCAAATCCGGGGGGCTGTGACCTGGCATGGAACTGGGCCTCAAGATCACCCTGGTGTTTGCTCCTAGTGCCAGACTCTCAGCTGACCACTGCCTCTGAGCTCTAGCCACACTGGCCACTACAGTTACCGTACCCTCTGCAGACATGCCCTTCCTGCCTCGGCCTGGTCCCCATCTCAGCGCAGACAGAGTCCTCCAGGGTGTCCTCCCCCCCAACACCCCACCAGGGCAGGTCCTTTGGCCTCATGCTGTTTACCCCGCTTATATCCGCGTGGATTAGTGTGACTGCTGGACCGGAAGGAAGGACCGGGTCTGCCTTGTTCTCCACTAAATCCCCCTCCTGGCACGGAGCCTGGCACACAGGACCTGCTCAGTCAATGTTTGTCGGATGAATGTCTAAATGAACGAGCAAACAGACACGGGCGTCGGGGCAGGTGTTAATGTTGGGAGATGAAGCGAGAAGGACCAACGGGGTCAGATCACGAGGAGCCTTGAACACCAGGCGGAGGAGCGTGGGCCTCTGTGTGCAGGGCCCGGGCCGGCGTTCTCAGCGCTGGGTGCAGTCAGAGTCGTAAGGGAGCTTTGAACAGTTCTCATGCTCTCCCCATCGACGAAGGGAAGCACAGCCTGAGGACGGGCTTGGGCATCCGTGCACTTGAATAGCTGCCCGATGAGTCTGTCGTGTGACTGGGGTTGAGAACCACCGGTCAGGTGCTGGGCAGCTGGGCAGTCTCCTCTCAGTCCTGAGCCACCCAGCCAGAGTCCTTTGTGTTGGCTTGTCATCCTGACACCCTCAGCTGTCCTACCCTCCCTCCCCCCTCCCCCACCATGGGGCCTGGCAATGTCCTCTGCCTCCACCAGCCCCCCCCCCCCCCCCCCAGGGTGTGTGGCATCAGCTGGCTGGACTGATCTGACAAGCCCAGTCCTGAAAGATGGAGCCCTCCCCACCCTGCTGATCCAACCCACACGCCCCCAGGGCACCCTGGAGTGAGTCCTCTGATAACCATCTCCTGGCCCCTGCAGCCCACCCTTCCCCCAGCTCCTCACTGGCCCGGGGAAGGGAGGAGCCCCCATCAGAGCCAGGTACTCACCCAGCACCACAGGGGAAAAGGTGGGGACTTTAGACCCACACGCCAGGGTTCAAACCTGCACTGCCACTTCCTGCCCATGGGAACCTTTCTTCAGTCTGAACCTCAGTTTTCCCTTCTGCAAAATGGGGGTGTTAGTACTATGCAGTGGGTTTGTAGGAGGAAACGAAATCAGAACTGCTCCCATTTGTTGCGCATCCACTACAGAGGGTCTCAGGCTTGGCTGCACGCTGGCGTCACCTGGGGAACATGATGCTGAGGCCACTCCCTACCCCACTTTCCCAGCAGGTCCATGTGCCATCAGGTAGAGGGGCCACCTGCCTCCTCTGCCAGGTGCTGTCCATCCATTATCTGCTTCCACAGCAGCCTGACCCGGTGAGAACCCCCCTCCCCCCATAGATGGGGAAACGGAGGCCCGGAGAGGTTAAACACCTGGCCTGTGGTCATGGACATCTGGACTCCGAAGCCGCTGGTCTTGCCAGTACCTCAGTGGCCTTTAGAAAAGGCAGCGAATGAATGGGAAGGTGCCCAGCCCAGGCCTGGCCCCCCCTCCTCCAGGGTGACACCAGGGCCTCTGAGTCAGGGCACCTTGCTCACGTGTCTTACTCATGGATTTTGACTGACTGATTCTTTGCCAACCAAGAAGCACACAACATTTACCCCCTAAATATACGATGAAAATAAAGGTGGAAAAATCGGCAGAAACCAGGGTGAGGTTTGTATCCAGAAAGATTGTTGCCAAGCCCTGTCAAGGCTGGGGCCGGTCTGGCGCTGAGAGCCCGCAGCTGCGCGCGAGGGCACGGGAGTGTTCTGCGTGTGCTCGTGAGCGTGCCTGGGTTCCGTTTCTGTGAGCTTCCTGGGCACGGGAATTGTTTTAGCTTTTCTATTTTT